TCCTACCGTAAAACTTTGATCGGCCATTTTGGCCCCATCCTAACCCCGTGGGTCATCATTTGAACAAATTTGAATCTACAGTACCTAAGGATGATTCCACGTAAGTTTCATCTTTCCTGGTCCAGTTGTTCTTGAGAAGAAGATTTTTAAAGATTTTTTAATATGTATTCCTATATAAGTTTGATCGGCCATTTTAGCACCACCGCCCCTTATATGATTTGAACAAATTTGCATCTACACTACCTGAGGATACTTCCCTATAAGTTTCCTTTTTCCTGGCACAGTGGATCTTGAGAAGAAGATTTTTTAAAAATATACCATCAAATTTTCACTATTTTTTATTTAGGGCTTGGCTCCTGATTTGAACAAACTTGAATCCCCTTTACCTAAGGATACTTTGTGCCAAGTTTGGTTGAAATTGGCCCAGTGGTTTTGAAAAGTTAACGACTACGACGATAACAATAGACAACGGACAAATTTTGATCAGAAAAGCTCAATTGAGCCTTCGGCTCAGGTGAGCTAAAAAGACTAATCTTGACCATAAGGCCAAAATAATGCCCTGTTCACACGACGAGTTTAATTCGCATTAAATTAATGCGAAGTAAACTAATGCGAATCAAATTAATGCGAATTAAATTGCGTTCACACGACAGCTAATGCGAAGTAAACTAATGCGAATTAAATTTTTTCTTCTACAGTCAGGCGTCAGTAAGTTTATTATGATGTCATTTGTAAATCACGTCATGTATGCAGAGCCATCCTTTGATACATCATGTAGTGGCTACAGGTACCCAAGTGAAAAAAATCCTCAAACAAATCACTTTAACAAATTACTAATGAATCAGTGATTTGAAGATGATTTGTAAGAGATGCAAATTCCCATGCAAATGAGCTAACAAATCACTCCGAACAAATTGTAAGCAAATCACCCTGAAATCGTAACCAAATCACTTCAAACAAATTGCAAACAAATCATTTCAAATAAATTGCAAACAAATCACTTCAGTTTAACAAATCACTTCCAAATCACTCCAGGCGGATACACACTTGTATGCATGATGCTCATGTGTAACCATCTCTCAAATATTTGAAACACATGCACATTTGTTGTATATTTAACAAAAAACTTTTGGCAAGAGTATTTTAAAATATAATTTTTTACTAAGACCTGTCCTCATTAAGATGACATCATGTATTTTAGATATACACACATGTACTTGGCTCCAAACCAAGAATATGATATAAGCATGAATTGTTGACTTTTAGAAGTTGGTAAATACTTTATTATCTGAAATAAATATTTGTTTAGACACTTTGAAAAAGCCAGTACTTTGCTGAAGCTTATAGCTCTACATAGATTTTGTTTTCAACATTAATTGCCACCAACTTTGTTGTTGGTAGAGGAATAATAAATTGCATGTAATTGTATGGAATATTAACTGGATCTAAGGAGGAAATAATATCATAATACAGTTATACATACCTTAAACCTACATATTCTGTAGGCATGGTTATGGAAAAACATAAGTTTCAACAAAAGGAGAGAGGTATGAATCTAGAACAGCACAATCTAGCTCCTTTCATTTCAATTCAAATCTGAGTAATGAAAATTGGCGGTTGAGTTTCTAATACCGACCAATCAGCAAGCCAGGCGGAAGTTATGAAGCAAATCATTCTCAAATCACTCTGCAGAAGGACCATGAGTTTAACAAATCATTTGCAAATCATCCAGAAGAAAGACTAAGTTAACAAATCATCTTCAAATCACTTCGAAGAAAGACTAAGTTCAACAAATCATTTACAAATCACTGAAAAAGAACGGCTAAGTTCAACAAATCATGAAGAAATCACTGTAGAAATTGCCTAAGTTTAACAAATCACTCGGAAATTGTCTGAAATGGGAAAGAAATCACAAGCAAATCACCCCTTCATAACAAATTGTAAGCAAATCATAGTCATCATTTTGGTAGAAAATGATTTGTGCATGATTTGTTAAATGAATTGCTTACAAATCACTGAGACAAATCACTATTAAGTGATTTTAGAGCAATTTGTAGGCAATTTGTAAGTGATTTGTTTGAAAAAATTTTCACTTGGGTATTCATTGATTTTAGTGATTAATATACTTTCCCTCAATTTTTTAACCAAATATAGCACAAATACCTATATATAACCACCAACATGTGTCCTGTGACTTAATTCTGGCCTTACACATGCGTCAAAATTTAATTCGAATTAGCTTCGCTTAGCGTTCACACGGGGCTAATGCGAAGTAATTTAATGCGCAGTAAATTAATTCGAATTAAACTAATTCGCATTAAATTCTCTACGCTAAGCGAAGCTAATTTGCAGTAAACTTACGTTTAATTCGAATTAAACTCTCCGTGTGAACAGGGCATAAAATTATAGTTTGTTTGGAATTGCCTCACCCCTCATTGAAATGCCCCCTCCTGAAAAAATTTTATTGACCAAAAGTAGGAAGAATTTTTTTTATTTAATCAATTTTTTTGTCCATTATTCATGTATTATATGCACCATACAAAACACCGAAAGATAGTGTCAGATCTAACCCGCACCTCAGATCTCCAGATTTCCGCATTATTCCGCATTTTTTCCTCATTTTAATATGGAAAAAATGTGGAAAAAAATACGGAGAAAATTAACAATACGGAAAAGCAGAAAATATACGGAAATAATCCGGAAAATATACGGAAATAATATGGAGAATTGGACTTAGTCTATTTTTCATCTGGAAAAATATTGAACTCTTAACTTAGAATATTTTTCATCCGGAAAAAATACGGAACTCTGGACTTAGAATTTTTTTCATCAAGAACAAGATGTGTTTGTGAGACACAGTAGCACCTGGCGGCAACATTAAGTTCTAAAAAGCAATTTTTAGCAAATGGGTCTCAGTCAATGTCACACAATCATTGTTCTTGGTGTCATTTGAAAGCACTTTATTAGTGTAGTATGCATACCAAATATTAAGTCTCTATCATCTATGGTTCAAAAGTTATGGCGAAAATTCGAAAAAAGTTATATTTAGCACATAGGTCACAATCAAGGTCACAAGGTCATTGATCTCGGTGTCAGTTGAAGGTGCCTAATTAGTGGAGTATGCATACCAAATATGAAGTCTCTATCTCTCACGGTTTTAAAGTTATGGCGAAAGTTCGAAAAAGCTATTTTTAGCATAAAGGTCACAGTCAAGGTCACTGACCTTGGTATCAGTTGAAAGTGCCTAATTAGTGGCGTATGCATACCAAATATGAAGTCTCTATCTCTCACCGTTCAGAAGTTATGGCGAAAGTTCCAAAAAGCTATTTTTAGCATAAAGGTCACAGTCATGGTCACAAGGTCATTGACCTTGGTGTCAGTTGAAAGTGCCTAATTAGTGGAGTATGCATACCAAATATGAAGTCTCTATCTCTCACTGTTCAGAAGTTATGGCGAAAGTTCGAAAAAGCTATTTTTAGCATAAAGGTCACAATCAAGGTCATAAGGTCATTGACCTTGGTGTCAGTTGAAAGTGTTTTTGTAGTGGAGTATCCATACCAAATATGAAGTCTCTAAGTCTGACAGTTCAAAAGTTATGGCGAAGGTTAAAGTTGACAACAGACAGACATACAGCTAAACAGACAGACAGGACAAAAACAATATGCGCCCCGAAAAAATTTGGGTGCATAAAAACTGTCTTGGAGTTCACAGCAGTTCTCTGTTTCTCCTGAATGTTATGTACAATTTGATCGGGATCGGAAGAATGTTTCAAAAAGTCGGGCTCAGTGATCAATTAATTTAAACAACAGACCGCCAAAATTTAACCTTGGCCTCCATGTTGCAACGTCTGCTCTGTCTAAAGGAAGAAGTTTGTTGACCAGACAGCCTGAGATCGTATTGCTGTATCAACCAAAAGATGCAGATACACGTATTTCATATGCGGTAGGTCAGTCATATTTTTTTTAACACGTGTGTCACTGTGATGATGAAAATAAATACTTTAGGCCTAGGACTGAGCTACCAGGCTACGTACGTTTCAGCCAATATGCCCATGATTCAAATCTTTCAATCAGCTCATAGAAATTTATTATGGTTAACCACAATTAAAGGTGTTAATTTTGGGGAGCCATGGGGTGTAATCTCTAGCAATGATTTACCATACATTTTTTTTTTTGGTAGTGTCTGTGCATGAGGAGGAGATTTCTGAAAAAGAATAAGTGCTTATTCAATTTACTGCGATTTTAACGGGCTTAAAGCTTGGTCCATGGATGGTTATGTTTGAGGTATATGTATTCTTTTTTAGGTCACCTGAGTCACTCAGGTGACCTATTGCTATCTGTTTTCGTCCGTCGTCGTACGTCGTTCGTCGTACGTCGTTCGTCGTCAATCGGTCGTAAACTTTTGAACATTTTCAGCTTCTTCTCTGCAACCACTGAACCAATTTCAACCAAATTTGGCACAAAGCATCTATGGGTGAAGGGGAACAAAAATTGTGAATTTCATGATCCCTGCCCCCCTGGGGCCTGGGGGGTGGGGCCAAAACCACTAAAATTAATGCAATCTTTAAAAATCTTCTTCTTTACACCTGGACATCAAGCAGTCAAACTGTATGCATGATTGTAATCAGCATTGAGTCCTTTACCAAAATTGTGAAATTCATGGCCCTGGGGTCAGGGGTACTTGTGCTAGGGCGGAGCTAAATAAGTATATAGTGAAAATGCATTATTTCTTTAAAAATCTTCTTCTCTGCTCCTGGGTATTAAATAAACTAACTAAGTACATAGTTATGATGAGCAAGAGTGCCTCTACCAAAATTGTGAATTTTATGGCCCCAGGGTCAGGGGTTCTGGTGTTAGGGCGGGGCTCTATTGATTATATAGTGAAAATACATTATTTCTTTGAAAATCCATTTCCCTGCTTCTGGGTATTAAATAAACTAACTAAGTACATAGTTATGATAAGCAAGAGTGCCTCTACCAAAATTGTGAATTTTATGGCCCCAGGGTCAGGGATTCTGGTGTTGGGGGGGGGCTGTATTGATTATACATGTATAGTGAAAAAACATTAAATCTTTGAATATTTTGTTCTTTGTTCCTAGGTTTTAAGCAAATGAACTACCTATATAGTTATGAGCAAGGGACCTAATCTTCAAGAATTGTAAATTTCAAGGCCCCAGGGTCAGTTGTACCATAGAGGGGGGGGGGCTGTACTTATATACTGAAAATGAATGAATTGTTTGAAATGTGCTCCTTGGTATTAATCAAATTTTTTTGAAAAGCAAGGATGCCTTTCCAAAAATTGTGCAATTTGTGGATCAAAGCGTAAGAGTCAAGGATTCCTGTGTGGTAGCGGCACTACTGATTATTGCTGAATATTACTGATTTGTTGAAATGCATTTTTTGTTCCCCTACCCTGCCTATGGGTATTAAGTAACCAAACTAAGGAACTGCTAAGTGTATAGTTATGATTACCAAATTGTAAATGCTATAGCATCTGGCTTAAAACAAATTCAATCACTGGAAAGTTGTTGAATAATGCTCAGGTGACCTATAAGGCCCATGGGCCTCTTGTTTACTTTTTTTATTGCTTGTTTAATTAAAAACAGTCAACTATGATTGTCATTATTATAAATAATATTTTAAACAAATTGATATTAAATTGAAGAACCCAAAATTGTGTTTATAAAAAGATTTTAAAAGGAATAAAAGCAATGAATTTAAATTTTATTAATATTGCACCATTATAATTTAAGTACTTTTTTTTTAATTGATAGGATTTGCCAATCTGACCGCAAGTGCTGCTGCAAGAAATTAAACATGCAGAGACCTTACAAATTACAAAGAAGTCTGAAGAAAATTTTTATTGGACAGATGGGTGTAAAGCACAGACCTGAGATATAAATTGAATTGTGAGAAATATGAATCAGGGATGCAGGTAGAAAATGGCAAATGTGATCCAGATTGATAAAAAATGTCTAAAATTTTTTCTTGTTTTGTAAATATTCAATGCTATGTCAATTGTTATTTTTTCCCCAATACCTAATAGTGTTGAACATTTCACTCCCACTTTTGCTTAAATAGAATGAATAAATTTCCATTTATTTAATATGAATATTAAAAAATGCCACATTTTTTCCATGATGAACTTCTGGCTTAAATAAGAGTTCCAGTTTTTTTTCCATACATGCTCCTATTTGTTTGTCAAAGATATAAGATCCAATACATTGCTCATGAACATAATGTGTAATTTTGTTCATTCATTTATATGTTTTTTTTCTCATAATGATATAATAAATTGTATATAATTTTGCACATTGTTGATGGTTTTGTAAATATTTATGTATGTATGCATCATGTGGCGGTTTTATTAGCCATTTTATAACCATGTGATTAACTCCGTATTTTCTCCAGATTTCCGTATTTCCGCATTTTATCAACCAAGTAAATACCTCCATATTTTGTATATATGGAAATGCGGAAATCTGGAGAGAATACGGAAAAAGAGTCCAAATACTCCCATCCACATTTTCTCCATATTTTGAATACGGAGAAAATCTGGAAATTTGAATCTACGAAAATCTGGAATGAATGCGGAAAATTAGTCCAAATACTCCCGTCCGCATTTTTTCCTTATTTTGAATAAGGAAAAAATGTGGAGATCTGAGGTGCGGGATGTAAAATTAGGATTTTTGTTCATGGTAGATACTTTTTTTAAAAGTCAGAAAATGTATTTACTTTTTACTAAGATTTTTATCAAAAATTTTTAAATTTATCTTCAATTTAAAAAAATAAAATAATTTCCCTCCCTCCTGTGTCTGAAACCCTGCAGGCGGCAATTCCAAACAATCAATTTTTTAATGATGGCCTAATTACTAGGATTTTCATATTTCTCAGATGTATTCCTCAATAATATGCTTATTTATTATCTTTATATCAGGTCAAGGATGATTTTTCTTGACAACACTGTTGTAGGAATGAAAATTGCCAATTTTACCGCACTTATGATATACTTTCACACTGTGACAGGATATCATTTTTATTTAATGAGTAAGTTACAGTACTTCACTCAGGTAAAAATGTAATAAATCTGAATATTTTCATTTCTATTTGTTTTATCTGAGATAATTAACTTTTTGAAAGTTAATCAGATTATGTTGATTTCTTGATAATTCTAAGTACTGGAATGTAAATTAGGCAAATTCATAGGTCAGGAGCTAAGGAGGCCAAATATGAATGTAAATCTTGTTCTGCTTTTTGTTTGACATCAGTGGGTGAGTACTATACTATACTATACAAAAAAGTCTTCAATATTAATAATGTTTTTACTGAGCAGCAATTAAAAAAATTATGTTGACCGCTGAGTGAGATGTTATACCTATATATATATATCATTGAGATGTTAGAAGGCTTACGTCACAGTGCAATAGGCAGGCACTAACTTAATTTCATTTGCATGCATTCATTGCGATGTTTAAAAGGGACAGTTCTGGGGTTTACATCATGGAAGACAGTACAAGATGCATGTATGTCAAAAAATATCAAAATAAAAGGTATAACAAAACTTCTATTGATCTTGTTCTCAGGCAAAATGAGTTTCAAACCAAACTGTGTGCCTTTTGCCTAACTACCTATGGCATCTCCTGCAAACAGTTTGGTTCTTGGGTCTGACAAAATCTACATGTTGTCCTCGAACCCAGTCAATGAATGTATATTTGTGAGCATGAATATCTCAATGTACATGCGCACTCATCACCGGAAGTCATTTTTTTCATCAAATCAACCATATATTATGTTAATATTTACATTAATACAAGTTTAGTAGCTTCACTAAAACTATATAAATTTTTGACAAACGGTACCTAATACACAAGTAAAACATGCGAACAAATATTTCAAAATGCATGTACCTGCCAAATACCTCTCTTAGTTTTGCTGCAGGACAAAAATGGCGTCAAAAATGTTCGAGTATTCACTACGAAATTTTTTTCCACAATAAGGCCATAAAGAGTGATAAATCGATGAATATACCAACTTCGATAAACTAACCTCATCCAGAAGAAATCTTCTTCTGTGCAAGATGTCTTGAAGAATGCAGTGAAAGCGCTGAGTAGATGCAATCGCAGAAGCAATGACAGTAGTGACCGATATTGACAAAAGGCAATCTCAATCTGACCTTGTAAAACAGATCACGTGATCAAAGTAAAATAGTCCCAGAGCGTAAAGAATTTGGAAAATCGTATTTATTGTGTCTTTAATTACTAATTATAATAAAATATATATATTGGAATTAGGACTTTGTGAAATAAAACTTTAAAAACGCGAAGAAAGGTGCACTACGCAATCTAATTCTTAAAAAAATCGAATCTACTATTCTCTAACCAGAGTTGTCTACCGCTACGCTCACTACACCTCTGTCAACGCTCGTTGTACAAGGTTTTTGTACAAGTTTTGAACGGAGAAAATTTGAAGTTAAAATAGTAATTAATTATTGTAATTATTGATATTGATGATAATTCATCATTTATTTCACCTTTAGTCCCTCTTACGACTAATATTTTAATTTAAAAATCCCTATAACATGTAACAAGTTGTGATTTTCATTCATTACTAAAAAAGAAAATTCAGTAAAACCACTTTTGAGAAGCATAAAACAAAGAATATCAGATCAATGCATACAAGAGGAATAAGCAAAGATTCATAATTCATCGAAACTAAAATTTTATCAAGTTGCTTTTAATAATTTCAAACGATGCGGATACACTGATATATTAAAAAAGAAAACAGACAGATCAATTATTAGCAGATTGAGACTTAGTGCTCATAACCTTGCAATAGAAAAAGGAAGACATTTTTCTATACCTACAGATAAAAGAATTTGTAATATATGTAACACAGGGGAAGTTGAAGATGAATTTCATTTTCTTTTCATCTGCCATAAATACAATAATCATAGGTTAACTTTTGAAAGGAATTTGATGATTTTTTTCCATGATAAAATATTAAATATGTCTAATACTCAAAAAGTTAAACTTTGCTTTAATAGCCATTGTCCAGAAGTACTGAAAATAACAAACTCATTTATTAAAAAATGTATTACATCTAGAAATGACTGCTTAACATAATTATTTTACAAATGATGTACAATTTAGCTATGATTATATATAGCCTTACATTCTATACCAGATTATTGTTTAAATATAATGAACAATTGATGATGTGCCTTTGCCAATTATTGTAATTGTGTTTGTGCCAATAAATATTTGTATTTGTATTTGTATAAGGTGCAACAAGTTAAAATAAATATTGTTTTCCGATAAGAAATATAATTACAAACGACTATAAATACAATTTTTTAATCCTTTACAATTTCTCCAAGAATCTTGTAAAACAAGCGTTGACAGAGGTGTATGTGGGAGCGTAGCGGGAACGACAAGTCTGGATAGAGAATGCTAATCTACCCCTCTCCCAACTTCAGTGCCCAATGCATAAATAACATTTTGATTTATGTCATTGTCATCTACAAAAAAATTATTTTTTTTATAGAGGACATGATGTATAGGCCTATGACAATACGCGAAACTTGACTTACCTAAAAAAAGCTGACAAGCAAAAGAAAGAAAACAGAAAAAGGAAAGTAGCCTAAACTCGAAAATTCTTTTTCGTGGGTGGTTAGATCGAGGCGAACTTTTTCCATTGTCTACTCCTTTCAGTACCAATTTTTTGACATTCAATACTACATTTCCCTGATATCAATTAATTACCGGTGGTATAGATCGAGTGTGTGTGGGGGGGGGGGGGGGCAGCCTTTTAATGAATATTTCAAATATTAAAAGCAGGGGCGTAGCAACAGCGGGGGCCAGGGGGGGCTTTTTTCCCAACCTTACTTATACTATAGGAAATGTTAATTGAAAGCCTGGTGGCCCCACCCACCCCACCCCACCCCCCGCCACTTTTAGTTATGTACGGAAAATGTAGTATTGGAATTGGTACTGAAAGTAGTTGACACTGAGAAAAAGTTAACCTACCCCCCCCCCCCCCACCCCCACCCCACACGAAATAGGATTTTCGACTTTGGGCAACTTTTTCCTTGCCGGAGGGGGAGGGGATTGCACCGCGGTCCTCAGTTTTTTTTAATTTATCTAAATTTAGCTTTTTTCCCTATGTTCATTGAAACCCAGGTTAATTGCACCCACTTCCTATCTTTTAGCGTGCGTAGTTAAATCATCAAAATCGAAGGAAATACAATGTAAATATGTACTAGAAGATAAATTCAGGAAAAAAAGATGAATAGAAATAAATATAAAATATCTTTGGGCCTAGGGTGTATATTCGCAGGGGGGGGGGGGGTCCTGTCCACAAGTTCCTGTGGATGGAAATTGTGGATGAAGCACCCTAGTACTTTCACACAGACTTCATGATGTAGTGGTGTACATTTTGAGGATCAGTCAAGACAAACCTGTAGAAGGACCGGGCCGTGCAAAGAGCTGTCAAAGTTATTGATAAATTGTTTATATAGGGAATAAGATGTCATTGCGAGCTCAGTTGACTGAACTTTAACTCTGGTCCGGATTCGGAAAACAACAACCTCATACAAATGTGTATTATGTGCTCAAATATTTCCAGGTGCCGATCCAGAAACTAAAATTAGGGGACGGAAAAAATAGGCAGGGGTCTGGGACCGCCTTGAGACCGGGCCAGAAGCTCCTGAATTTTAGAGATTTTTTTCCTTACAAATTCTACAATATTTTTCGGAACATTATTTTGTCAGAAGGGGCTGTATGAACTGTACATAACAATCAGAAATCCATTACCAAAATATTTGAATTTATTATAAAGTAAAAAATATTGATTTTATTTATATATTTTTACTTATCACACAATGTGATGATCCCCCTTTTTTATTTGCTTGTCATGTTTTTCCCCTTCTTTTTTTCAGGTAATACGACGTTTTTCTCCACTTTCAAAATCGATGCAACGTCACTTGGAGGATGGACCTTTTACTTTTTTTTCTTTATAAAATCCCGAAAATACCCGAGAAGGATTAGAACTATCTTATTATAAGATACCAAAGCTTTGCTGTTTTTGAGAACATTTCAAAGTCATTTCCTTATGTACCTCCATGGCATCTGATCCCCC